TCGTTTTGCCTCCGCTTCACAACCATTGCCCATCGAGGTAGACGTCTGCGGTGAAGCAATAACACCGGCACGAACACAGCATCGCCAATTCTTAACAGACGGAGTCAAAATTTACGTGCCAATTACATTCGTCAACAAACGCCAAAAAGTAGCAGTACCAAGTCTAGATCGGCTGTTATATTTGGCTGTCTGATCGCGGCACTTAACCTTCCCTGAAGCGAAGTGAAGTTCGTTCTTCCGCCGATCACGTCTGATCGACGGACGATCCGCGCGCTTTCGACCAAATATATTCATTTACGTTTAGACCTCGCAATGCATGACCGTTGTCTTAATGGCTTATTAATTTATTAATCAAACGTCTCCACCATTTTGTGCCTTAAACAATAGATATAGACTTAATAGATTCGAAGAACCTGATCACTGGAAGGCGTACATAGACCTAATTATATCAGTCTTAAAGAGCTTCACTAAGCCTGCAACTACCACTGTAGAATTTATTAAAGCATGTTATAAACGTAAATAAAAGCAATCAACTCACAACTTGTTAGTGAGAGACACTCACTTTCAGAAACCCAGACCTTATGGTTCTCATGAATCAGACCAAATCAAGCTTTGACGTTTTGTTGTTCACGCCAACGAAGAATTAAAAACTGCAGTTATGAGTATTTTAAATATAATTTAAGCTTTTGAATTTTTTAATCCACTGGCAACGAGCTCAGAAGCTCTTCCATGACGTACCATGTTTAAATGACGAACATACGGCGAGGTCAACGTGACCACATCGAACAGCTTGACGTTGGATGAGAGCCGAACGACCAGATTATGTTACGTTGTGCGTTCATTTTACGTTTCCTATTAGTTCATGTCTGTCTCCTCTGGAGATAACTGAGCAAACAATACGCTGAGTCCTGCAGAAATGCTGATTACTGCCATCTCTTCCAACCTGAATATGAGCATTCAGCATAATTCCTTTTTCTACGTCGAGAGATGCCTTCATTCCTGATGGTACACTCAAGAGGAGTACCTCCCAATTTTAGACATAATGGCCAGCCAGAAAATGACGAATAACTCTCTCCATTCATAATTACTCTACTACGGTAGTTCATATGAAGGGTTCGCTATTGCAGCTAGCACGTTTCAGTTCGGTTTCAATTGTAGACCAGTCAGCTGACACTCACTGAGCAGGCAAACTAACTTTCCGAATAAGTAGAGCCTGAAAATCTATTGACAGAATAGGAAGGTTCAAAACCTAAAAAAGGTAAGTCATCACTGGATTCATGCAGATTTGTAGACAGCTTAAGGTGTCGCGCAATTCTGTTTCATAATGAACCCCTCAGGACCCGAGATACTCCACCGCCTCGAGATGAACCATACGTCGTACCTGTGATAATCACTTGCGCCATAATACGGATGTACTGATCGTGTTGTTGTCTAAGACCTCAACAATGCCAAAGGAACATAAGAGTAGCCTTCAGCCTTTCCATGTGTTATTATACACGACTCCTTTATTGCACGTGACGCCATTTCGCCTAGAACGCAGCCATCACGGAAACCGCATCTTTCTGGCAAGAAAAATAATTCTAAAACAGAATGGAAACCGTTCGCCTGTGTGCTAAGATCATCACACTTGAATCATTTGCATAAGCATTACGTGTCTAATTCATGACGTCCGCTGTATTCGCAGCCTACCAATACTTCTGTT